GGGGGGGGGGGGGGGGAATTCGACTCCTGCCCTCTGAGCTAAAATTACCTTGACAATAGGGAATGCCACGCCATTTACCAATTGCCCGAGTTAAAGAATATATCTTGGGTATGGATGTGTTGACAGGACAAACAGTTGAAACTAAATGGTTGCTTCTGCTTCAGGACTTTGCAAGCAGGATTTGCTATTTGATCTATAACTGTCTTGTGTGGTTTCTTGAAGTGGGATCATGTTGTGCTCCCCATGCCTCCAGAGGTTAACAGTGTTAACTGTAAAACAATATTGTAAGCCAGGGAGGAAGGAGGAAATTACTCAAACTGTTCAAGGACTTCAACAAGTTGGAATTGTTAGAAAAGTACAATTGTTTTTAATAATCCTATTTGGCCTGTTTGTAAACCAGCTGGCACTTGGAGAATGACTCTAGATTATAGAGAACTGAATAAAGTCACCCCCTACCCATGTTACAGTACAAGGTATGGTTGCTCTTACAGAAAAAATCAGTAAAAATTTACAGCTCTGGAAAGTGGTGATAGATCTTGTGGTTTTTTGGGTTTTTTTTTAATAGCCATTGCTTCAGAAAGCCAAGACCAGTTTGTCTTTATCTGGCAACAAAAGCAATATACTTTCCAAGCGTGCCTCAGGGATACAAACATAGTCACTCCATTTGCCACCAAATGGTAGCAGCTGATGTGGTACTATGGCTGGTTAGTGTTACTTTTTACCATTATACTGATGATTTATTGATTATGTCAGAGTTACAACATGAAACTAAAGTGGCCACTGAGTTTCTGGAAGCACATTTACAGGACTGAGGCTGAGCAATTAAGCCAAAGAAAATACAGGCCCCTAGTACTGCTGTACAGTTTTTTGGAATAGTTTGGTATGGACAGATTAGAGAAATACCAAATAAAGTACAGCAAATAGTCCAGCAATTTCTTGTGCCAACCACAGTAAAACAGTTACAGACTTTATTTTTAGGGTATTGGAGAACTTTTACCCCACATCTGACAATATTAATGCACCCTATGCAGACATCAACTAGGAAGAAGGTTGTTTGTCAGTGGAGCAAGCAACAAAAAGCCTTTGATGCCAGCAGAAATTTTTTGATTGAGCATGTGAAATTTTACACTTGTAGGTGAGGACATCCTCTTGACTTAGAAATAACTATTCTAGATTATATAGTATCTTGGTGATTGTGGCAGATGACTGGGCCAAAAAATCAGAACGAATCTATCAGCCTAGATGTGAAGAGTCATATAACCCCTGAGAATGCTGTATGGTTTTATAACCCAACTTCTCTTATTTTGCATCCTTTGTTGTTATCAGATTCTTGAGTTCTTGTATTTCAGGTCTCTTCATTGAATATCTGGGCCTTATCTAGAGGAGGTAATATTGGAATGGTGTTACTGGTGTTGCAAACCCAACATTAAATTGAAGTTCAATCTGAAAAAGCACAAGCTGTAGCTCTTCAGTCTGAGTGGGCAGTTACCCCACATCAGGTTAGCAAACCCAGAGTAATATTAACTGAAGAATCTGGAGCAACAGTGTATGTATTACATGAAGATGACACTGTTTTACTCCCCTACCACAGGTTGGCTCGTTGACTTATACTACAAGCACATACCCTGGACATTTCTACAAGACCTGCATGTACATGCTTAGATTTGATTGGCCTTTACTGTTACTGGCTCATCTGCATTTTATATTAAGGCAAGATAAACAACTGCAGATCTGTTTGACAATGTCCTTTATTGGCATGCTAACCCCAGTAGCTGTGTTACAGGATGATATTATGCTGAGTGATTTTGATATTAATGTTTCTCATTGCTATTTTTTCTGAGTAGGTAATGGCTGTATGCCAGTGAACATCACAAAATTAATTGACAATGGTCTGTTTCCTCTTTTGACAACATAAATGCTGCTTCAGTTTTGAAGGCATGTGTTGCTTCAACATAACTCATTGATTAGCCAGTGTAGAGGGCAACATTCAACATCTCTAGGACTTCAAGCATCAAATGAAACTATCTACTGATGGTACCTGGCTGACTGACTTATTTTTAACTCTCTGACAGGATGAATGGGACACCTGATCCAAAAGCATTATTGTAGGGATATGATTATTCCTTTTTTTCTTTGTTTTATATGTGTTTATTGTGTGCCTCTGTAAATCACTCTGTGGTATACCCTGCAAGTCCAAATGAACACCTCCAGCTTTACCAGCCCCAGCAGAAGTGGTTACTTGGGTGAGGGGTGGAATGTGTGAATACAAGTGAAGATTGGTGAGGAGGATGGTAAACACGCTCAAGTGACCTGCAGCTGGGATGTTGAAAAACACATGTGTATCATACTAATTGCTGATTAGTTTGTGTACTTGATGGGTAGAATGTCTGTTCTCAGATAACATAGACCTGTGATAGACACACATTATTGAACATCCCTCAGATTCCTGCCCTACTGTGGGAAAGATCATACCACAGTGGAAAACTATGCCTGCAGAAATCCCTGGTATATACAGATGAAAGCAGCACGTTCAAGATCTTTCTTCTCCTTTTTCTGGCTAAGAAGGACCAAGCTCTGCAGTGCCTGCATCCCTGCTTGTGTGCCTCTGCCCGGGTGCTGCTGCAGAGATCCCCCAAGTTGTGAGGTAATGAAAATAAATGTACTCTTGCATTTCATCCATGGTTTTGTGGTTGTTCTTGCATCCTGTTTGTGTCTATTCACAGTCATCCATATGTAAATCACTTTGACAGTTGTCTAACTTGTTTCTTTAAAAAAATTAAGTACATTTCACAACACTTTTAGGCAAACTAACCAGCTTCTAACTACCTGTCCTGCTAGCATATCCAAAGGAAAGTCCCTGTGAGTAATATGTCCACTGTTCTGTGACCACCACTAACGTGGAGAACTATTTACTTCTCTTACTCTTACTTTGCATATATAAATTAAACGTTTATATATGCAAAGCATGTTTCTGAACCTCCCTTTAGTCTTTTCTTCAGTATATTAGACAACCCCAGCTCCTGCAGTCTTCCCTTCTTTGTAATGTGCTCAACATTTTTCTTGCTCTTTCCTGAACTCTTAAGTGGACTAGATCTGTCTATTAAAACTAGGCAGTCAGACTACAACCTTACAAAACCCAAGAGCAGCAGTAAGATTATTATTTTTCCCTCCAATTTACAAGTTCTCTTGGTTTCACATCATAGTATGCTATAACTATCAACTCTGTTACTGTGTTCAGATTGCATTCATAATTTCTCCTTTTTCTCTTCCACCCTTCTTTGTCTACTATTTATCAGATTTGATCTCAGGACTGTTACTTAGCCTGCTTTTCCCCATCCCCTATTGTTTATTCCTACCCAAGTGTCAGGACTTGGTGTCCCACAGGTTTTTTCCCCCTTAAAGCATTTCTCTAATTTCACTCTGTATGTTAACCGTGTCCTCCAACAAATTGGCAGTATTTTCGAGCCAGATGTAATCTGCAAATTTAATAAACATTCTAATTATTGTAAATAACTTATGAACATGCTGCATGATTCTATCCTTTACTTACTTTTTGGAATCTAATGTAATATCTTTTCACTCTGACAGGAAACAATTGATCGCTCTTTTGAATATAACTTCTGTCTGTTTTACATTGGTTTTATTTAGACTGCATTCTTCGAGGTTTTTATGTAACATCTGCTACAGTTGAAGTCAGGACCCATGATGTGTACTGCCCTATCATACATGATAATCGGAAAGAAAACTGATCAGGTTTTTTTCCAATATCCACATCAGACACAATTTCTTCTTAACAGATCCTTGACTATTACTTACCTAGCCATTATTCTATTAACTCAGACAAGGAAGAGTAATATGTTTACATGTTTCTGAAATTACTTGAATTAAATTGGACATTTATAATTTACCTGGATCTGTTTCCCTTCTTCTTAAAGATCACAATAACTTATGTATTCCTATACCCCATGCCAGAAAATTTCTGATAAAGAGTTGGCAAAAACAAAATATGGTGTTCTCAGGCTCCTCTACTTTTCAGATATGCTTTAATATGTTGATTCTTTCCCAGTTAGTTTTAGTTCTTATTTCTCTCACCCTTTGCAGTTCTGTTAACACTGTCTATGGTCTGTTCAAGTAAGGCTGAAGGAACAAGGGTGCTGTGCACATTATAATGTCATTGCTGAATAGTGGCATATTATCTCTTATTTCCACACAGTTACTAACAAAAATACTAGTCTTGTAACTCACTTTTTTGCTAAAATCATTACAATGCAATACAATATTTATAAAGATAGTGTAATTACCACACCAGTCCACTTAGAGGTACCAATTCATTTGTTCAGGAAGGATCATCTGTTTAGTTTACTACTACCTGTAGGCCACCTTCTGTGATTGGTTAAAGTCTGCAAGTACAGTCTACACTATTCAATGAGGTATATTCTTTGCTGGTTTATGTGAAGAGAATTAGTAATGCCTCAATCTGGAAAAAGAGCTGGAGAATGTTCAACCAGAACTCTCATGAAGGAGAACCATGTCTGCATGGGCTTGGGTAGTGAACTAGGCTGCTCACACTACTGCTTCCAGGGTAGAGCTAGCTTTTAGGGAGCATGATAAGACCCATCTTGCACAACACGTCTCTCAGGCCCCAGAAATCCCTAGAGCACCTTCAAGGGAGAACAGGAGCAAGCAGAAACAAAGGTCAGAGTATCAAGTGATAAAAGAATGCACAGCATGATTAAAAAATTGAGCTAAGAAAACAAAAGATGCCTTTTCTAGCAGAGCAAAGCTCTGGGAGGAAAAAGGAACAAGGGGGCAGATGAGGCTTTGTGAAGATGTTACAAGGTTAGGTGTATTGCAGAGCAGAAACAGAGTATCGTATCTTCTAGTCATCTTCCACAGCTGGGCGAGGCACAGTAATCCCTGAAGAGTGAGTGCA